TTCCTAAAAGAAATAAAAAAAAAAAAAATCTTACTGTTTAGATATCTCCATTTTGCATGTTCGTCTCTCAATTTCTGTAATGAAAACTATGACTGTCATCTAGAAAGATTTAGGACAGGCTGAGCTCCATCTCATTTAACAGTCCTAGAGTTAGCACAATAAGATCTTAAAGTTATGCTGTGTTATTGGGAACATGTAACAAATATAAAGTAGGTGTTATCCCAATCTGGCTGTAAAGTGGAAATACACTTTAAAACTTAGGATTTGAGTGCCGATGTCATCCACATTCTCTTTCCCACCACTTATCCTGGAAGAAGCATCATCTTGCTGCTGCTCCTGAAGCACCACATAGATCTCCGTTCTGTTTCCATTACCTGCTGAAAGTGACTTTGTCACCTCCAGCCACTTGAAACCTTCGGCAGCAGCTGTACCCAGATTGCCTGCTTTTGGGCATACATGCTTTACAACTGTTTGGACGCAACATATCTTCTCTAAAACACACAGTGCACAGTCCTGCTGCCAAGCGTGAGTCCATACTCCCCTAGCAGGAGGAAGGAATTTGTGGGCAGATAATGCTCTTTTTTTAATTTGTATTGTTACAATTAGTTTCACATATAACTACAACGGGGGAAAACTGAAAGGTGAGTATAGATATATACTAGGGATGCACTAATATATCGGCCGCCGAAAATGGCACTTTTGGCTAAATCCGAAAGTGCCATTTTCCTGCCGATACATGGGCACATCCCAGGTTTCTCTCCTCCCCGCTGGGCGCTGCTCTGTGTCCCAGCGGGTAGGAGAGAAAGTGACAGCCGGCCGAGCGCTGCGGGAGGAGAGCGCTGTGAGCGGTCGGTGTCTCTCCTCCCACACCGCTATCACAGTAGAGCGGCGTGGGGCGGAGACAGCGCTGTCGCAAGAGGCTGGGCTCTCCTCTCGCACCGCTCACTCCTGTGTGTGTCAGAGAGGAGAGCAGGCTACAAACACTCGGTGATCGCTGAGTGTAGATAATTTAGGACATGGTATGTGGACTATATCCTCAATTATGAATGAATGGGAGTGATCTATATCCACTCCTGTTCATTCATAGTTGTAGTTATAGTAAACATACTATATTCTCATGTTATCAATGAACAGGAACACTCAGAGGATTCCTGTTCATTGATAACAGGGGATGCAGAAAAAGAGATTGAGGACTTTGTGTTCTCAATCTCTTTTTCTATTTTAAAAGTGAAATATCAGGGGTCTGTTTAGACCGCTAATATTTCCCCGAAGGCCCTAAAAGTAAAGTAAAAAATAAAATTATTTAATAAAAATTAATGAATATAAAAACATTTAAAAGTTCATAAAAAATAAAATATTTGAAAAAAATCAAAATAAAAACATGGGTTCGCTTTCGGCCTGACAATTTTTTTTATTTCGGTTTTTAAATTTCTATTTCGGTGCACCTCTAATATATACACCATATAAACATAAATGATATAAAATACATCCTTCTCCCCTGGAAGTAGAATGTCTATAACTAATACAACAATGCATAGATTTCACTATTTGCACATTCCTAACATCCATGGAGAGAATGAGTGCTCAATATACAATATAACACTGACAGCGAATATATATATACATATCAAAATGTTACCACTTTCCTGTATCCTATACTAGAAAAGGAATTACCCCCAAAAACATCTAAAACTGACAGACTTCAGGGCCTTCTATGTAATTAAATATAGTACTCCATATATTGTCCATAAAGCATCACATTTTATACACATAGTCCATATAGAGCATCTTGGTTCAAAACATCCATAGTCTCTGTATCATCTGAAATATACTGGGTTGGAAACCTATACACCCTCAGCAAGCGGCTACGTAGAATATTTGCTCCATAGCAATCTAAATTTCTTGTTCAAAGATCCAAATAATCCAGACTGGCATACAGTGGGGCAAAAAAGTATTTAGTCAGCCACCAATTGTGCAAGTTCTCCCACTTAAAAAGATGAGAGAGGCCTGTAATTGGCATCATAGGTAGACCTCAACTATGAGAGACAAAATGAGAAAACAAATCCAGACAAATCACATTGGCTGATTTGGAACCAATTTATTTGCAAATGATGGTGGAAAATAAGTATTTGGTCAATATCAAAAGGTCATCTCAATACTTTGTTATATATCCTTTGTTGGCAATGACAGAGGTCAAACGTGTCCTGTACGTCTTCACAAGGTTGGCACACACTGTTGCTGGTATGTTGGCCCATTCCTCCATGCAGATCTCCTCTAGAGCAGTGATGTTTTGGGGCTGTCGCTGGGCAACACGGACTTTCAACTCCCTCCCAAGATTTTCTATGGGGTTGAGATCTGGAGACTGGCTAGGCCACTCCGGGACCTTGAAATGCTTCTTACAAAGCCACTCCTTCGTTGCCCGGGTGGTATGTTTGGGATCATTGTCATGTTGAAAGACCCAGCCACGTTTCATCTTCAATGCCCTTGCTGATGGAAGGAGGTTTGCACTCAAAATCTCAGGATACATGGCCCCATTCATTCTGTCCTGTACACGGATCAGTCGTCCTGGTCCCTTTGCAGAGAAACAGCCCCAAAGCATGATGTTGCCACCCCCATGCTTCACAGTAGGTATGGTGTTCTTTGGATGCAACTTAGCATTCTCTCTCCTCCAAACACGACGAGTTGCGTTTCTACCAAATAGTTCTATTTTGGTTTCATCTGACCATATGACATTCTCCCAATCCTCTTCTGGATCATCCAAATGCTCTCTAGCAAACTTCAGACGGGCCCGGACATTTCCTGGCTTAAGCAGGGGGACACGTCTGGCACTGCAGGATCTGAGTCCCTAGCGGCGTAGTGTGTTACTGATGGTAGCCTTTGTTACGTTGGTCCCAGCTCTCTGCAGGTCATTCACTAGGTCCCCCCGTGTGGTCCTGGGATTTTTGCTCATCGTTCTTGTGATCATTTTGACCCCACGGGGTGAGATCTTGCGTGGAGCCCCAGATCGAGGGAGATTATCAGTGGTCTTGTATGTCTTCCATTTTCTAATTATTGCTCCCACAGTTGATTTGTTCACACCAAGCTGCTTGCCTATTGCAGATTCAGTCTTCCCATCCTGGTGCAGGTCTACAATTTTGTTTCTGGTGTCCTTCGACAGCTCTTTGGTCTTCACCATAGTGGAGTTTGGAGTGTGACTGTTTGAGGTTGTGGACAGGTGTCTTTTATACTGATAACAAGTTCAAACAGGTGCCATTGATACAGGTAATGAGTGCAGGACAGAGGAGCCTCTTAAAGAAGAAGGTACAGGTCTGTGAGAGCCAGAACTCTTGCTTGTTTGTAGGTGACCAAATACTTATTTTCCACCATAATTTGCAAATAAATTTGTTCCAAATCAGCCAATGTGATTTGTCTGGATTTGTTTTCTCATTTTGTCTCTCATAGTTGAGGTCTACCTATGATGCCAATTACAGGCCTCTCTCATCTTTTTAAGTGGGAGAACTTGCACAATTGGTGGCTGACTAAATACTTTTTTGCCCCACTGTATGCCAGTCTGGATTATTTGGATCTTTGAACAAGAAATTTAGATTGCTATGGAGCAAATATTCTACGTAGCCGCTTGCTGAGGGTGTATATAACAAAGTATTGAGATGACCTTTTGATATTGACCAAATACTTATTTTCCACCATCATTTGCAAATAAATTGGTTCCAAATCAGCCAATGTGATTTGTCTGGATTTGTTTTCTCATTTTGTCTCTCATAGTTGAGGTCTACCTATGATGCCAATTACAGGTCTCTCATCTTTTTAAGTGGGAGAACTTGCACAATTGGTGGCTGACTAAATACTTTTTTGCCCCACTGTATATAACATCCAGTAAAGTCCAGTAAAATATAAATCCTTATGCATCTTGGGGATCCCAAACACAGCTCCCTGATGCACGGATCTGTAACAAAATGTCTAGTGATGACCAATTCAAGAGTCAGATATAGATTTGAATGTCTAGGTGACTATACGTCCTAGAGAACCAGCTTATAGCATTCTCTGCTGCGTTCTGTGAATTCACAATTCAATCCAGTTCAATCAGTAAATAGACAAACACTGCAACGGTAACATGGAATGGTCTCACCACAAAGTCTCTGGTTGTATATCCTCTCACGCTGCAATCCAGATCCATCCGTTGGAGCCATCACGGAAAATTCTAAGAGCATATATCTGCCAGTTTATATAAAAAGGAACAGCCGCTTGCCTCTAAGGTCCTTTTTTATGGCCTGATGAGACGGGAATAGTAAATCTTGAACTAGACAGCCACCTCTCTGAGACGCAGCATATTGAAAGGGCCCTGCTAGCCAGACTGTGCCACATGCTATCCTAGCATGTTTTGTCCGCCCTGGACTTGCATATAACTTTGTTCTTGTGGTCAGTACAAAACAATGGCAAATTTTAGTTTTGTTTTTTACAACTGTGAATGGTTTATTTTCATATCCATCCAGCTGTTGTGTGTTTGTGCATCCTTTTTTGCTTTGCTAAAAGAAGCAGGTTGTTTATAGAGCTCAGTAGCTCTATAAATTGTTGGCGTGTTCACTTTGCCGTCGATTTGCTTGTGCACGTTACTACAATGCCTTCTATTATTATGTCCATTTATGTCTGATCACATGCTTTCATTTTTGTCCACTTTTTTTCTTCCCACATGGGCCCCAGAGTTTTATTATTGACTCTTTTTTTTTTTTTTAATCAATTTTTATTGAGGTATAGTTTTGTTAGATAAGACAAATACATTTCAAACAAGACAAGTACATTTCAGGTGCAGGCAACCGTTAATAAGCAGGCACATTTCTCTGCCTCTCAGCATGATAAAACATTGCTTTACTCATGTGTCTGCACCTTAAAGAAACAAAATCATAGATATTGACTCTAATAGCAACACCGTTATTGCCGGTCTTGTTGAAATATAGACCCTGTGGTTGCTTCATGTGGCTGCCCAGCAACTGGTGACCTTGAACGGCTTTTCTTTGTGGCAGTGCTATGTGGTTGCTAGACAACCCAGGGACTCGAGATTACCATGTCTCTATTGGCTCCCAGCTCATTTATTTAGCTGTGGCGCCATTTCCAGGTGAGCAATGGCTTTATTCAGGCAGTTGCCCAGACAACTATACACTCCTGGCTGTTAGCCCGGATGGTGTGAATGGCACCAAATGTACTAGTACATAGATGATCATTAATTCTCTGTAAATAACTTTTTTGCTCTATGTATTGAAATCTTGCTTATTGCCACTGTTTGCATGATGAAGGGCTCTGAAACATTCTCTTTCTGGGACTAATAAATGGCTCCATTTTAAGCATACAATGTGCTGGTGATATTCTAGCATTAGATGAGCCAGAGCAGTGACTCGTCCCCCACTATCTCTCTCTCTCCGTGGGGCTTCATCTGAGGGTTCAGGCAGCATAATATAGATCCTTTAGTCCCCCTAGCTCAGGCTACTGGCACAAGCAGATCCTTGCCTTGTGTGCAGTTTCGGCTGCGACAGCCCTATCTCGGATTAGGGCAGCCTGTGAGATACCTCACGTAGGGCACATATGTCCGGCTCACGTGACTTCTTTGCCACAGCGCCCTCTTTCCATCAGGAGGCAATTTGTTACGTGGAAGGTACCCTCTTTTGTGGTGGGGTGAGTATGTATGACCCTCCTCTCCTACTTGGAGTGGCGGCCACCCCCCAGCCAGTGCAAAGGTGGTAGGAGCATGGTAACGGATAACCAATGCATATCTACGTGCAAAGTACCAGCCCCTTGATCAGCTATTACTGGTTTGAATTCCACCTCTTTTACATGTTTGCATTGGATTCTAAGGCAGCAGGTTGCAGTACAACGCAGGTGCTCCCTATAATGGGTCACCTGTAGATTAGTTGTTTGATGGATTCATAGGCATTAAAGGGTGCTTGCACACTACTGGAATATAATGTAATCACGGCTGGGACAGAGTGCATGCCAGGTACCTGAAACTAGTTGATCTGAAGTCTGTTTTTTCATAGTGAGATAAGAGGGGAAGGGACAATGGGGCTCGATAGTTTGCCATTTCAATTACACTGTTTAAGAGAAAAATTGTGAATAGATACAATTTCACTTATTACTTATTTTCCTTTAGCTAAAGGTAATGAAGTTCCAAGATGAAATTGAATCTGGAAAAAGGCCGAAGAAGTCCGGGCAGAGTATTCAGGAACAAGTTGAACACTATCGTGACAAGCTGCTGCAAAGGGTACTGTTATTTCATATATACCTTTTCCTCTTTTTTTCTGCCAGCAGTCTCCATTGGAACATCACCACCCATCGTTCTTTCTAGTTTTCTAAAGATCGCTAACATTTAGACAGAAGTGTAGTGTTTTGGAAGTGACTGTTTTTGTTTCTGTAGAACAATATGATGAGTACTCCGTTGGTATTTATCAGATTAGGGTGGTGTAAAGGTCATTTTGGTTCCTGAAAATCTGGATATGAATATTTTTATTCTTTCATGCACTATAATGTCAAAGACCTCTTGTACAGAGTGGAGAAGATCATGGTCACTACAGATATCTGCAGATTGTCAATCTCTGTCTCCTGCCACATATTACTTTACCCAGGGAGAATGCCCAAGTGAACTCGAGTCAAGTCTGTAGCTCTCAGACTGATAACTGCATCAGTAGTTATGTGAAATGTTCTAGGGATAGCATGGAGGGGTAGTGTATCAATAACAAACGCTAGCCTGTAGTGTCTTCCTCATCAGATAACCATCTGGCTTCAAGGTCTCTTGTGTCTTCAATTTATAAAAAGTCATGATTTTTCTGATCACCTGTGTGAAACTGGAGCCCTTTTCAACAGTGGCCAATTGATTCCTCTAGATAGAGATCTTCTGTTATGCAAATGTCTGTCAGGTCTGCAGTTTCTTAGGACTTTCCTTACTAGAATGAATTACCTGGTTTTGAGTAACAATCTTGATGATTTCAATGTTGCTGCAATGCCATAGCCTTTTTGGCATGATTTTATTGCTTTACTGCTACATTTCTCTACCTCGTACCTTATTCAAACTTAATTTTGAATATTTTCGAATTACTCTTTTTTTAATATTAAAGGGACAGTCTATTTAAATGGGTAGATTGAGTAATTTATTGTCTCCATATTGGTTTTATGGAGACTCTACCAGTGTGTTCCAGCTTGGCCTGTCTGCTTATAGCCATTGCTTCTGGGTCTCATTCTTTTGTTGTCTTTTGTTTTAAGAAACAAACATGTGGCAGGAAAGGTGCAACTTTCTCATGCTGCAGTTGGAGAATAGAGACTATATAAGAGTGCGGAGCACAGGTCAGAATATATGGTGAATAATTCTTTGCTAGTCCGTTATTTACTACTGTTTATCCTTGCAAGAGTCACGTCGAAGTCCAATCTCTGATCCATTCCTGCTGCCTGTCCACAGTGACTTTGGCTGAGTGCCGCCATCTGATCCATCATCTGCTACCAGTTGTTTGGGTTTTGTGTTGTACCTCATACCCTGAGCCTTACATGACCACACCTCTGATTCTAAACAAGGTAGAGGGAGGGGGCAGTAAAAGGTGCCCCCAACTTTCACTCTACGAATGGCTCAGGGCGGCTTGCAGTGTGCCTACTGATGGTGCTGACTGCTGCAGCATGGAATCATGTTTCCCGCTTCTAGAGTCTGTTCTGTCATCAGAGTTCTCTTTAGCTCAGCTGGGTGAGGTCGGCACCTCTGCCCTTTGTTATTTCCACCATGTGCCACTTACTGTTTCAGTGCAAGATGCGCCTGTTTTGAAGGTCTCAACTGAAAAGCAGTTGTAAACCCTCTTTAGAACTGTTTTCTAGCTGATTGGCCCTGCCCTTCACCAAATGTTGGCTGTGACTGTACTTTGCCAAGTTATGTCTGTCAAAAATCCCTTAAAAGAGATCTCACACTTCTGCAGTTGATCTCATAATCCTAGAACAGATGTACAAAATAGATGTACACATAGCTTTAAATTTCAGTTGTGGCGGTCTGCTGACATTTACCGACTGTCAGTGCACATACGTAGAACACCGGTTAAAGTGATGGACTGTGGAACCTGCGTGTAAGAAGCATTTGATTTGCATGGCCTTTAAGGGAGAACGTCTCATCAGATCAACTCTTGATACTGTTATCAAGGAAACTACTGGTGGCTTGTGTGCCCATCTTCCTCAGCAGCAAAAGCCTAAGAAACAGACTGCAAAGTCTTCTGGCTTATTTGCGAAAAACAACACTTTTATTTTTCCACTCCTACCCACCCTCCACATCAAGACAAGCTTAGCTACCAGTCCATCCACAAAGTCTGGGGCTTAAAGTCTGTAGACAAGCTTTTCTTTCCATGTGGGAGGGGGGGTGTCATTTTTGTAACTTTTGTGGATGCGTGGACAGCTTGCATCTCTGACGCTTGGGTGCAGGAGGTGGCATCCCTTGCAAGCTGAAGTTTCACTTGATGCCTCCTCCTTGGTTTCTCCCCTTGAACCTACCTGTGTCACTGAAAAGTTTGCAACATTGGACCATCCGGTTGGGAGGTCATCTGAGCCAGATTCAAGCAGACGATGCCACAGCAAGGGAGGTAGATTGGATCCTGTCCTTGGTTCACATTCCTACATTATTTGCTGTGTACATCACAGGTGTAGACAATTTGCTGTCAGACTTCCTCAGCCGACTGCATCTAGATCCGGGGGAGTGGTCAATACACATGGAAGTATTTCAGGATCTGTTTTGCAGGTGGTGAAACACTGGATGTAGCCTTCCTGACCTCCAGGTTCAACAACAAACTGGGCAGCTTTGTTTTCCAAGTGCTGGAACTGAAACTTGTTACTCGTCTACTTAACAAGATCAAGATAGAGGGAATTGCAGTAATCCTCACTGCTGTAGACTGGCCTAGGCACATGGGGTACACCAACCTGGTAAGGCTCCTGGTGGACGCTCTGTGGGCTCTTTCAGATCATTGGGATATTTTCTGTAAAGGGCTGATGTACCATCCTGCTTCATGATTACTGCTTTTACCACCATGGCTGTTCAAACCCAGGTTTTGGAGACGGGAGCATCTGTGAATCTATGATTAATACAATGCTAAAAGCTAGGAAGGCTAGTTCCCGCAAGGTGAAAGGATTCTCGCTTTTCTACAGCTGGGCCTGGACCAGCCTTTGGCTCTCAGCACTCAAGGGCCTGGTTTCTGACATTTTGGTTCTGTTTCAGGCACCGTTGTCCTCACACTTCTTGATTAAAGGTGCCCATACACTGCTCGATTCTCGTACGAGAATCGGGCGAAATCCCGCGATCGTACGAGAATCGAGCAGTGTGAACTAAGACGTGCGACCGTTTCTACTGTACGGTCGCACGTCTTTTGTCGAGCCAACATGTTCGAAAACCCGCCGAGAATCGTACGATTCTCGGCGGGTTTCTAGCCTGCTCGCCCGATAGCTGCGGAACGGACCAGTGTGCACACGCGCACACTGCCCGTTGTGCATTGCCTTCATCGGAAGCCCGCCCCTCAGCGGGGCGGGCTTTCGATGATCGCAAGTACGATCTGCCCGTCCAAGGTGGGCAGATCGTACGGGCTTTCAAGAAGCATACGACCATCGCAAGACAAAAGTCTTGCGATGGTCGTAAGGTGTATGGTCACCTTAAGGCCTTTTGTACAGGGAGTCTTCCATGTAACTTCCCTTGTGGCTCTATGGAATCTGGATCTGTCTGCACTCTAGAAACCACTGTTTGAACCCATTAAGGACATTCCCCTCTCGACTCTTATCCACAAGGTGGTATATTATGTAGCTATCTCCTCTGCAAGGTCAATGTCTGAATTGGTGTGTTTATTCAACAAGCAACCCTTTCTAGTTTTGCATTGTAACAAAGTGGTTTTGAGACCCAGGACTTCTTGCCTAAGGTAGTATTTGCCTTTCACCTCAACCAGAAATGTATCAGTCCATCCCTCTGTCTGGCTTAGGTTCAGCAGGAAATTTTCCTCAATATTCTGGATGTGGTTCGGGCTGTGCAAGTGTCTCTCTCAGCCACTGCTTCTTTCAAAAAAAAAACGATTCCCTTTTTGTAATCCTGCATTGACTTCTCATTCCACCATCTCATCATGTTCTCGGAGTTCTACCAGGTGAATCATGTAACCTCATCGAATGTGCCTGTTTAGGGCATAAGGTCCTTCAGGTGGCTCTTTAAGCTCCAAGCAGTCCTAAGTTCTCTGTTTTCTTGGACCTGTTGGTGTTTGTTTGCGGTTTTGCCCACTCCTCAGCAGGACTGCTTTTGGACAGAAATAATTTTACGGTGAGTACAAAAATCCTATTTTTTCTTTTTTTTTTTGTATTTGCAGGATCTAAAGGGATAAAACTTGAGGAAATGTACATGTAATGGAGATTAACTGCAAATGTCTTTTTAGCATTGATAATGATACTACATTGATAATGATACTACATTGACAACCACTGGGTGGCAGTATTTTTCCAGTATTGATTAACGGAATCTTGATTGCAGGAAAGAGAAAAAGAGCTGGAAAGGGAAAGAGACCGAGATAAAAAAGATAAAGAAAAGTTTGAATATCGAACAAAAGACAAAAAAGACAAAGAGGAGTCCACACCAACAAGAAAAGAAAGGTCAGTATAGAGACTTTTTTGGTTTGTTTTTTTTGTTCGTGTTCCCATTCACAAAGCATAACAAAAAATAATTTTCTGAAGACTTTTCACTTTTTAGATGTTTTGCATCGTGCATCATGGCTGATTCCAGTTTTTTTTAGAGCACCTTCACAGTGATCTGTCCTTATAGAAAGACTTGGGATGGAAATTTGAGGATTCTGATTCTCTCATTAACATACAATGCCAGGGTTGTAATCCTTGAACCCTTTGTTAGGACAGGCCGTGTTTAAATCTACTTTACAAATGATAATGAACAAACCTCTCGCAACCCCTTCTAACATAAAGGAGAAACAATTCGACATTTTAACCCTTAAAGGAGAACTATGGGGTCAGTGTTTTTCCCCATAGTTCTCCTTAGGGTAACGGGAGGACACAAACTAGCGTCCTCCCGTTACCCTAAGCTCAGTATACCGCGAGCTGCAGCTCGCGATATAGTTCTCCTTTAAGAAGCCAAGAAACCCTAACACATGTAAAAACAATTTAAACTGCAAGAAGCATTTAAAAAAAAATTAAGCTGATGTGAATGGGAACATGTAACATGTATAAAAATGTTATTCTAATTTGGCTGCAAAAGTGTAAATACACTTTTTTTAAAAAAATCATATTTTCTAAGTAGCTTTTATTAGTGCCGTTCCTGATTTATCGTGTACGAAAACCTTATTTCGTTATTGCACGGTATAACACATTTTCCTGTCTCTCGGTCTAGTCCATGTTTTATTGCAGTGTCTATGGAGCATTCCCTCATATTTGCTATGCAAATCCTGTTTGCATGTATAGGCACTGTGTGAGAGACAAAAGCTTTTCTGTTTTAGGATAACCTAGAGGTGATGGTACGCTAGACAATAGACTGGGGATTCTGCTACAGTATGTATAGTTGATATTTAAGAGTATGTTGTCCCCAAGCAATCATTTTGATGGAAACAAAAGCAAACTTAAACAAAAAAGTCCATTTGTTAAATTCTGTGGCACTGGACATCAAACCGGGCTGAACGAGAAAAAAAGGAGCGGATTCCTCCATCAAATTTAGGAGTGTGTCGATCGAGGAATCCCGCTGTGAAAATACAATGCACACAGCGGGATTCCTCGATCGACACAGTCCTAAATCCATCGGCTCCTTGGCTGCCGGCTCCTATCATAAGAAAATGTTTCGCCCAGCTCCTTTGATCAGCTAATTGAGGGGTGCCGACCAAAGGGGTGCCGACAGCGGCACACTCGTTGCAAGTTTCATCCAGGTACTCAAAAACTGTCTGAAATTCGCAGTGTATGGGCACTTTTAGATACTGGGCCTGAATAGAAAATCCTTTTTGCATGGCCAGCGGCAGTGTTAAATCAAGGATACAGAATGTCTGCTCTGGGTCCATGTATCGGGGCTCAGCCTTCCCTGTGTACAAGCCTATGTCTACTTATTGTTAGATCTAATGTATCGAATGCAAATATATAGGAAAGGAGAGACTCCCTCTGGTAAAAATCACTAACATGACTGCCAGTGGGCTTACAGATCTGTCCATATGTGTCAGATATATATTGTTTCTCCATATGTTTGAATTCATTATGTTTTGTCTGTCAGTCCACTGTTGGCCTCTCCGCTAAGGGTTTTGCCATATTTCTAATCTTTAACTCACTTTTGCACTCTAATGTAGCCAGGTGCAGTGCTGTGTTAGAAAGAGACACATTTTGTATTGACTGGCATGTCCTAATTGGAAGCAGTAATTGGTAGTAATGTTTTCCAGGCCTCTAGAATATGCCTTTATAAATAAAGAAGTTACTGTTGCTAGACGTTTATTTCTGTTCATTGACATTTTTCCAGGAAAAGGCGTCACAGTGGTTCCCCCAGTCCAACACGCAGTAGCAGCAGTAAGCGCGGCAAATCTCCATCACCAAAATCAGAACGCTCTGAGAGGTCACACAAGGACGGCTCCCGATCACGGTCCTCTCATAAAGACTCTCCCAGAGATGCCAGTAAAAAGGGCAAAAGGTGAGCTGTAAACTCTATCATGTCATTTCATCTTTTTACGTAAATAATATGGTCATTTTCACTTACGTTTCTTTTCTCTGAATGCATTTATAAAAAAATCTGGATTCTAAAAGTAGTAGTGATGTTTTTAAAAGCAAACTTGCACAGAAATAAAAAGTCTAAATCCTTACATATGATGCGTGATGCTGCCTTGTCCAGCACTCGGCCCCCCCTAATTGCAACAATACGCTACTGCATGCCTTCTGTCATGGGTGGCCTTTCTAACAAATACCTGCACTCATAAACCTGGAAAGAGTGGTACTGGAGCAGCCGCCGTGTAAGCTGGTTGTTAATTGCCTTACTGCACTTGCCCCGTAACTCTACACTTACCCTATTCAGGGTAATTATTGCTTTATCACCTCCCCTTCCTCCCCCCCTAAGTTTAAAGTCCGTGTACGAGGAGCATGTCATTTTGCAAAATGCTATGGTTTGCAAATAAAGCGCTGTCAGCATGACCCAGCTCAAAAAGTGTGTTTTGCCGCACATCAGTCCACTCATTTCAACAGGCTACCCTACATACAACAAACACGGCAAAGAAACTCATGCAGCGTTTGAGTTGTGAGCTTCACATGTTTTTTGACCATGTATTTTTGCACACTTATTGCACATCAGCGCATGGACAAAGACGCACATTTGGGGTGCCGTTAACAAGTAATGGCACTGCAAGCACATTGTGTATTTTACCCACATTGCGTGAACATGTACCAATGCGTATGCTTTGACATGCATTCACATGCATGGAAGTGTGAACGGGGTCTAGTTGCTGCATTGTCAACTGCAGGGCTCTGTTATTCAAACTGTTACACATTTTAGGGGCTAATTTGAGGTCAGGCTAATAACTCAGGAGTTAAATCTTAAAATGCATTTGTGTACCTTTACCTACTAACAACACTTGACATTATTTGTAGATCCTCAAATCATCTCTGAATTGGTGCTGACACTGTCCTTCCTTCTGGAGGGGGGCTACTTTTGTTCCCCATGGTCCCTGTGTGTGTTGTAAAGTAGCCACCGCACCAAGCTCACTCCCGTGATGGACTACAATCTCAATACAAATTAGTAAACTAAACATGAGATTGTAGTCCATCACAGGAGTGAGCTTGGATCGGTGACTACTTTACAACACACACAGGGGACATGGGGAACAAAAGAAGGAAGGGCAGTATCAGCATGAATTCAGAGATGATTTGAGGATCTACAGCTGAGTGATACACAAATAATGTCAAGTATTGTTAGTAGTTATGTTACTTGAATGCATTTTTAAAAAGGAAACTTCTGAACTTTGTCATTTTAAATTGGAACTAAAGTTTACCATGTTAAAATTGAACTTTTGCCACCCCCAGGAGTTCTTGCCATAAGCCAGTATATGCACACATTATGGCATACTTAACCTTAGAAGTTCCCTATTACAACTATGCTGTGTCCACACTCCCCTTCATGGCCTGCCATTCCATCTTCTCCTGGTCGTCTTCAGGGGTCTACAGTATTTGATGATGTAACTCTCACGGGTGTGCATGAGTTAATTGGTACCCACTGCATGCCTACACTGTACATCATCTCTGCTGCTATAGAAAGCTACCTGTTTACACTTTTTTTTAAACATTCGCCCTGGTTTAAGGGGGCCTCTGATCTTAGACTCCTAGATCTGAAAAGTCAGAATAAGATAGTAAGGGCAAAGTATAAATCTTTAATAGGTACACTGCACAATTATCATTTAAATCTGTATATACATATTCTTAACCCCCCCCCCACCCCCCTTCATGACTGGTTAAGGCCTCAGTCATGAAGGGGTTAAGATGATGAAATGAAGTTGAAGTGTCATTGTTTGGAGAGTTTAGTCACGTCAATTGATCTTATGTTGATCAGCATGCTACCGCTTCTGTACAGAAATGTCTCATACTTGCACCTACATTGTGTTTCAGGTCACCATCTGGATCTCGAACACCTAAAAGATCTCGGCGGTCACGATCAAGGTCACCTAAAAAATCAGTAAAAAAGTCCAGATCACAGTCCCGATCCCCACACAGATCTCACAAAAAGTCAAAGAAAAGCAAACACTGACAGGACTTCCTACTACCACCTTTTTTTTCTTTCTTTTTTTTATGAAGATGTCATTTAATTAAATTGCTTTATTTTTTTTTCTTTGTGCCTGAGACGTTCAAGAGAAAAATAGCTGAAAAGAAAAAAAACGTAAAAATATCAAAAACCCAATAAGGCAGCATTCCTACATTTTCTGTGAATGCATGTAAGTAACTGCATCTGTAGAACTTGTCACTGTTTTATATTGTACAAAGAAAGCCCTGTCCACCGTGACTATGTATTTCCACCAAACGAACCGTTTGTGCTAGGAATTCCTCCACCACTGTCTGTATATGATCTGCTGGCGGTAGTAAACCATTTTTTTTTTCTCTGCCTCCCCCTACCCTTGTTTGTTTTAGAATGTGAATTTGTTTCCATGGCCTCATTTTTGTAGCTTTAAAAAAATTTGCGTTTTAGGTTTCAAATAAAATCTGAAATTATTAACAGTTTGCTTGGGGCCTTGCTCAGAGAAAAGATGCTTCTGCCGGTTGAGATATTGCGATCTGAATGTAGAAGTTGTGATTTAATCCTGTATACAATCATTTCTACATGTTTCCACAGGCCAGGTAATTGATGATTGAATTTCTGCCTACATGCTGCTGAGCTGCTTTCAGCCATATCCTGGAAGTTTGCTTAAAAGTGAACCTGTCAGGTGCATCAGTGAGTTCCAACAGTGCTTCCAAAGTGGAGGCATCTTATGGTGGCAACATTTTACTCTGAAAACCCTCTAATTGATTTCTTTTCTTCTGGGCCCCTTTTTAAAAGTATACAAAATCTCAAGGGGTTCAGGGCATGGCACAGTGACTGGTGTATGGCTGAAAATCTGAGTTCCCATCCTACATCCACTGCTGTGCCCCCATAACCTGCACCCTTAGATTTCCAGCCATACACCAATCACTGTGTCATTCCCTGACTTCTTGTAATACACCAGTCACTATGCCAACAGTATCCCCCCAGATGTCCAGCCATACTCTGCTGTGTAGCAGATACTTCTCTTGCACCTCTGGACTTAAACGCACAAGCATAGCATGCACCCCCTTACTCTCCTCAGACATTCCTGTCCCAGTTTTTGTACACATCCAGCTACCTTCCTCCAGTGCTGGAAATACATTCTCCGCTCTGTATTGTTTCTCTTCCCACCACTATCTCCTGTATTTCTATTAATGCCTCATTCCGTTCCACTTTCTGCCTGACTTCTCTGAAATCCTGCTTCTCCCGCAGCTAGGCTTCTGTGTGGGCCGCCTGCACCCTATCAACTAATAATCTCATTGGCAGCCGGTCCGCACACCGTCCTTGGTTGTTATAGCCCAGGCTGTGCCTGTTTATGATAAAAAAAGATCCCTGGCCAGCTTGTTGAGTTATTTGCAATTTAAATTAATTCTTAACAGCACCCTTTTTGCAACCAGACATCATCCCCCCAGAGCACATATGATGAGAAAAATTGATATACAACGCTATGACTTTTGTCTGATGTGGCCTTGACGTTCAGGAGTCCAATGCCAGAGCCTCAGTGACTTGTAAAGGCCCTAACATTGGACTCTAAGTGGCAGAGGTTAGCTCCAGGTTAGACAGAGGTTAAGTACCTCCGATCCATATGCTTCCACATAGGGCAGAAATGATATGGAAATATCAAGGCTCAGCAAGGAGCCCACAATTTACGAGTATTTGGATACATTAATGTACTTAACAGTTGCACTGTAAAGATCAGATTTATGTTCTGTTTTGTGTGGGCTGACTTTTTCTACATAACCTTCAGGGTCACAGCCATACAGCGTGCATAATGTTCATGAACTGGTTTCTGTAAAACACAGAGATGATTTGAGGATCTACAGCCGAGTGATACACAAATAAGATGCATTTGTGGAAATAGTTAAGGTATTTGAATGCATTTTTAAGTGATAATTTCCTTCTTTTTTTCCGTGTGTGTGTGTCCATACATTGTTGAGATTGTACACATTTTATGAATGCGCTACAAATAACAGAGAGTTTCCAGCGGTCAGCCACTTGTTTGAGGGTCAGGTATGCACAAAGTATAGTCACAATTGTACTAGTCACATGGCCAGATTATCCAATTAATATGAGACACGGACCTGTCATTCACTCTATAAGAGCTTGTACTGTGTTTTTGGTAACTGCGTTCATACTTCAGGTACCTTGGAGACTTAAGATAAGGTGGAGTTTAGTACAGATTTAGTGATAATCAAAATAAAAAACAAACTCCAAAAAGCATTTAGAAAATGTGTCCTGAGCCCCGTAATGATTAAAGTTCTGGTTTTTATTGACTTGACTAATGTACCTGGCACATGGGAATAGAATGAAAATGCACAGATTTTTAGTGTTATATAGCTGAGACTTGGAACGTTCACACATATAAGCAAATAAGGTCACGGAAGGGTGGTCTGATGACAGGAGCATGAAATAAATATAGGTGTGGTGTTGAGAGATCAGAATGCCCTGTGGTGCTCACATATTCCACTTCTTCATGAACGTATACATGGAACCTCTATAACAGCATGTTAGTAGCTGTGCACAAAGTATTCTGGACAATTTCTGTATAATTTAAAAGCTAGCTATGGTGCACATTATTTGTCATGACAGCCAATGAGAGCTGGAAGCAAGTCATACGGCTGCAAAAAACAAACCACGCACTTTACAATGTATTTTATTTATCCTTAAACATTACATGTCACAATATACAGAAAAGCACCACCTTTTGTCATTTAGTCATCCTTTAGTCCAGTGACTTTGCCTAGGCTGCTAATAACTTATTTGCTTCAGAAGTAGGAAACCTTTCCATCGGTCTTCTTTCCCATTTTGATCAACCGGCAACATTGTAACTTTGAGCAAGTCACAAAGTAGGAGACTGCAGCAGGGGCTGATCTGTGTAAGACATTTGTAAAGAACTGTACAGGCACTGGGATTTACATGACTGTAGAGTCGGCATCTCCGTCCAGCAAGTAGGTGACGCCTAAACAAAGATGGCTGAGAGAAAAGTAGATGAAGGCATGGTCTGGGCAGATGCTGTAATCTCTGGAGGCAATATGTGGTGTGCTGCATTACATAAAATAGTGCCTGCACCTTTTCTTGGTGGAATAGGCAGCCTGTACAAATGAATGGGGCGTGTTTATGCGCATGGCTTACCACAGCAGTGTGAATCCAGCCTAAAGGTTCAAACTAAAAGAAGAGGTCTAATGTACATGGTCCTGATGATGCTTGGATAGCATTAGAGAGAGGTATGCGTTAGCAGGAATGCTGGGAACACGTCCGTCTAGTCATTTAAAGGAGAACTATGAGGTGAGTGCTTTTCACTCACCTCATAGTTCTTGCCGACCTGTGACAATGAGACTGTCACAGGTCGGCTCAGTAGTTTGGGAGGTGTTCGCTTACCTCTCGATCCTGTCACTGCTCTCTGCCGTGACAGGGGAGGGCCTGGATTCCCCTCTCCCCGCTCCGATCCGCCAGCACTGGCGGAACAGGAGGGGGCGGGTATAGCTGGCTCTGCCTCTAGATAGGCACAGCCAGCTGTCAGTCACGCAGCTGGGCGGATCCCGGCACAATTGTCGGGATCCGCTTCTGCGGCGTCTCAGTATATTGCGAGCAGCAGCTCGCGGTATACTGCGGCGTCTCGGTATACTGAGCCTAGGGTGACGGGAGGACGCTAGTTTGTGTCCTCCCGTTACCCTAAGGAGAACTCTGGGGAAAAGACTTAACCCCATAGTTCTCCTTTAAAGAATTGGCATTGACAAACATTCAGTGTACCATATAGGGTTGGCATCTTTTTCTTCAAGCGAAACCCAAACACTCTACCGATGTGTGTTTTTTTGGGGGGAGAATGAGTGGTGGCTTATTCATATGCAAATAGTGCCACCCATTAATATGTGAATATCACAGTTGAGACTATTCTCAGTGGGGGGCCAGTAGCCCCTATCCTAATTTTGGTTGCCCCTGTCTGCCTGACATCTTGTGTCCGGGTTGCTGCTGCCATGAAACCCGCACACAGCATTCAAAACATGGACTGTCCGGGTGAATCCCGGACAGGTGGCAACCCTAGTACCATTGCATGTAGAAGAAACACAATGCTTCCTGCTCATGCATGTCATTGTTCCTGAGAAACGCTAAGGATTTCTTTCTAGGATAATAAATGACAAACCTAAAATTAATGAAATGTCCGGTTAAAGCTGCTACTTTGTTTGGCTGCCTCCTGGAACAGATCATCAGGAATGCTTTCCTTTCTGGCAGGTTGTTCCTCTTTTTAGCTTTCTGTCTATGGAGCCCAAAGAGTCTCCTGCACCAGACACACCTGTGGGCCTATCCGATGCCTTGTACTCCGCTGCATTGTCTTCTCCCATCTGCAGCCCCCTACAAAGGACACCCATACTATGTGATGTAGTGACGTAGCAGACAGATGGCACCACTGCACACAGCAGGGCCCCAGGCATCTGATACACCCAGAAGCATGTCACATGCAGCACTTGAACACGGCAAATGTAGGAGTCGCTGCATACAGGAAAGGGAAGTACGCGACAAAGTTTGTAGGAGGCATTAAGGAAGTTAGTGCATGGACATGAACCATTGATACAAACTACATCATTTTCCTTGAAGAGGGATTAAATAAATATTAACCCTTGCGGTGGGGCTTCCCCCATCCTGCAAGGGCTCATTACCTGTTTCTGTCTAGGGACTAAAATAAATAAAAATGTGTACTCACCTGAACCTCACTGCAGTGATGGAATGTCCCTCGGCGTCCTCACATCCAACAGATACTGTATTAGACGTGATGGCTCAAGGATCCTTAGACCACTACAGGAGCGGTCTAACAGCAAGCCAGCTCCAAAGATCAGGTGAGTAAAGCTGGCCATACACAGAGGTTATCCGCAGATTTTCTGTGGTCAGATGGAAAAAGTACAACAGATTCCTCCATCTACGCTAAGCTGTGCGGATAAAGGAATCTCCCACTGGGCCAAGCTTCATTCGGCCCCCGCTGGCTGTCAAAACACCTGCATCCTGCATCCAATCAGATTGTTCAGGTATTTTGAGAGCCAGCAGGGCCGACTAGCAAGATACTGTAGCTTGGCCCAGTGGGAGATTCCACCATCCAAATAGTTTAGTGTAGATGTAGGAATCTGTTGCACTTTTTCCATCTGACCAGAGAAAATCTGCAGATAATCCCTAGGTGTATGGTCAGCTTCACTGATTACTTTTTTTTTTCCTCCCTAGACAAAAATGAGCAGTTAACTCTTGCAGTGCAGAGTAGCCCCAATGCTAGGGTTAATAATAATTTTCCCCACAGTTCTGCTTTTTACTGACTTATGTAAATGCCGGCACTAA